GAGTGATAAACCTGAGAGGTATGGGAGATGCAGACGGTTTCCTGGGGCGTTTGAGGGCCGTCCCAGTGTACAACACGTCCGTGGACACGGAGAGCCTGTTTTCCTTCAGTCCCTGCCAGGTCTTCTCCCAGCCAGAGGACCTGGACCTGCCAGGAGGCGTCTGCTCCGGTGTTGCTGCCTGCCTCATTGTCAGGTAGAAGACAGGGATATACTGTTTTTTGTCCTCGTTGACATTTAATTTATATTTATTTGCTTAAACGTTGGTTCTGTTGATTCAAATGACATTTGGTATGATTGTGTATTTTATAATGCATTTACATTTGACACACTTTTTCTTTAAAACTTTCATGCATTTTTCAACCAAATAAAATTCTTTTTGTACCTTTTATTTTGACGTTCGATCTCATCGCTGCATATTTTAACTAAACTAAGACAGTTTTCTTTTTGTCTCTCCAGGTGTTGACATTCCTTTAACATCTTATGTTGTATTGCTTCCCATACTGTAATTTCACAAAATTTGACAAGTTTTCATAACTTTGCATGGTAAAATAAAGTTACTGCCAATTTCTAACACTCCCAGGCTTGGATGGAAAAAACAAACAAAAAAAAAAACAACATCTAGATTATTTTTTAAGACAGAAAGAAGGGAATGGTCAGATTAATAAAAACTGTCATTAAGTAACAAATTCAGAATATTTATAAATACTTCTTGTGAATGTTGATGACTGAAGTTGGAGCAGAAAGGGCACAAAGTCATATACAATAAATCAGAATATATGTCCTGAAGGGTCTGGTCAGATTAAAATCACCTTTTGAAAATAACTTTTAAGCAGGTATTAAACTTACTTTTCATTAAGCTCACACTTCCCAAAAAATTATTGGTTTGATGTAATAATCAAATTTTAAATGTCATGTTTTTATTAGCTGTTCGTAGAAAATCAAAAGTAACAGGAATAAAGCCTTTTTTGAACATCCGTCTGGGTAGTTGATCTATATATTGTGTTTCATTTAATGATAAAGTTTAAAATAAATGGACTTTTCAATAATATTCGAATTTATTGAATGGGTGTGAAAAGCAGAATGCATCAAAGGTGAATGTGACTCAAGTTAATATCCTACATGTCATAAATGTTGAGCTACATTTTTTTACTTTTTGAGTCTAATCAGAAAATCCTAATTTAGCTCTTAGTTCATTGCTTGACATTTATTTATAATTTTAAAAATCTGAAACATTGATCAGAGCAAATAGCTGCTGAGTTTGTGTTCATTTCCACTTGTTGATGGGATATTCACCACTAGGGGGACCCCTAACACACAAAAGCAGGATATCTCCTCTCATGCAAACAATATTGTGTAGATCTATTTGCTAACATGAATGCTGCTTATTAAGATGCATATTTTATTCAGTTATATGTTGATCTTGATGTGGTTTATCAGATTTTTGCAGAATTTTGACCGTGCTGTGGGATTCTGTTAGGATTGTTGTGTTTAACGTGTTAAATATTCATTCTTATGTATCAGGTGAAATCAAACACGTCAGTTATGTGCTGTTTTTCTTGCTTGGTGAGGTCCCCGGGGGCCAGGGGCCACATCAGCCGCTATGTGAACTATGGGATGCACGAGGGCAATGAGTTCCACTACAACCACACTCTGAAGATGCTGACCGTGTTTTACTTTGGTAAGTGGAAACACAAACATTTTCCTACGTTGAGTTTTTGCTTTCATCATGACATCACAGCAGTGTCTGTGTCCTGCTCCAGCTCACAGGGAACAGCCAATGACTGCAGCCCATTACCACTGCAGTCCCAACCAGTCCACGTCCTCCCTCCGAGTCCAGAGCCTCGGCAGCCAGGGCCCCCTGCACATCTGGGTGGAGAGCCCCTGTGCTTGTCCAAACGCCTGCGCTGTGGGGGACCTGGGTCTGGGCACCATCTTCCTCATCATCCTCTCACTCAGCGCAGCTGCATACTTCATTCTTGGTAGTGTTTTGACTCCTGAAGGAGCAAGACGATCTAACTTTATCCCATAAAATGTGTTTAACGATGCCTCAAAAGGTTTTATGCATCTTGAAATTTTTGTACATTTTGAGTTGACAAACCAGCCCTTATGCAGAGTAACTTATGCATGATTGTAAAGTAGAAGAGTAATTATGCATTATGACTAATTTTTTAAATTAATATTTACCTGAAAAGTTCATTAGAACTTTAGTCAGGGGCTGGGTTTTGCTCTCAGAGGGGGCTTAGTTACACTTTAAAACCGGAGCAAGTAACTTTTATAAAAAATAAATGTTGAAATTGACTCCTACCAAACTGTTGTGTTGTTGTTTTTCCCCAGTGCTAACTAGAAACAACCAATCAGAGCCAGGAGGCGGATCTTAGCGCTGCACCTCCCCCTCATTTCTCTCTGCTAAGCTGCAGCTTCTTCCTGATAGCATAGCCTGTTATGAAAGCTCAGTCTAGTTTTTCTTTCACGTTAAGTTGTTTCTCCTCCGTCAGCACATTGAGCTGTGGGTACATGAGGTTGATTGACAGTCCTAAACCCCTCCTCCTGGCTCTGATTGGTTGTTTTTGGTCGGGAGCCGTGCGTTTCTACAGACGGCAACAGTAGCACAGAGAGAAAATCAATTTTTTCACAAATTATCTGTCTCATATCATACTGTCATGACATGGTGACAGTTTTAACAAATATGTATGTGCCTGTTAAATACAACGGTATGTCACACTTTTCAGATTTTTATTTGTAAAAGATTTTGAAAATCTCTTCGTATGATTCACAATTATGTTGTACCTTGTGTTGGTCCCGTATGGTTTGCATACGGGGTTTGCATGTCTGCTTTGGGTTTTCTCTGGAGACTCTGGTCCAAACATGTTCAGATTTTTTCAATTGCAGACTGTTTTTATGTGCTTGTTTGCTTCTATGTCTCTGAGTTTACTGTGGACTGGATTCTTGTAAGGACTTATACTGTTGCTCATCCAGTGACAGCTGGGACAGATTCCAGCTGTCACTCGACAACCTATCAACCTAACTCTCAGCATAATTAGGTTGTTTAGATGTCTAAATTCTCAGGAAACCATACAACCCAAAAACACCATGACATGGTACTAGTGAGCTCCTCCTCTGTGTGTACAGGCTCCTGCGCTCTCCGGCCGTTCCAGAGCAGCAGCGGGATGCAGATCTCTCCAGAGCGCAGCGTGTGGTGCATGATCTGCTACTTCTGCAGCGAGACACGACCAACACCTGCGCCTGGGCTGAAGAGGATCAGAAGAGTCAGCAGAGTTTAGATTGTTTTGTAAAAGGAATCTGAGTTCAATGATCATCAGAGGTGATGATGTTTGACTTGTCCATTATGCAGTAAAACGAGATTTTAAAACGTAACCGAAGCAGAAATACTTAAAATGCCGGGATTCTGGGATGAGAAAAAACTTTCCTCATATAAAATGCAAATAAAAAAAACAACACAATGTGGTACCTAAGGAGACTGTGGGGGGGGGGGACAACACTCAGCAGGAGCCACCCCTCAACTCCCCCACACTCTTTGGTTGGACTGCTGGTTGTGGTGGTGGGGATTGGTGAGCTGTGTGTGTGTGTGTGTGTGTGTGTGTGCGTGCATGCGTGTGTGTGTATTGTTTCAGCCCCTTTTGGGGTGGGCAGCTGTGGGGGGTTAAGGGTTTGGGTGCACCTGCTAAATGGGTCCTGTACGGGTCTGTGACCCTGTTTCCAGAACCTGGATTGGTCTTCAGTGGGGGAGGAGACAGCGGGTTGGATTTGGGGGGGATCTGATTGGACCGCAGGTTTCTGCCCCCATGCCTCGCTGTTGGAGCCATGGCTGCCCTATGGGGGGTTCCAGTGTGTGTCCGCATGGCCCCTGCCACATTTCTTTTCCTCCTAACAGGTTAGTTTGATTCTCAGTTTAATGGCTTTTTTCACATTACACATGAAATGAAAAAAGCTTTGAAATTCTAAATCATTTTATCACAAAACCCTGGTATGTAATAGAGTTGAGCAGACTTTTAAAAACTACCATAACCTGAAAATTTGCTTTGAACACTTAAGGAGAAAATTGTTTCTTTGACTTGTTTTAATTTGACCTCAGATAATGTAAGAAAACAAAGCTGAGCAGAAAACAAATGACTTTCTGCTTGGTTTAATTAGTGGTGGGCTTTGGGCCAGCCTCCTGCTCCCCCAGTGTCTCATTCTTTGTGTCTAATTAGTGGTTAGAGCGTTACCTCCATCTCTTCTCACTGTGTGGTCCCAACTTGCCTTTGCAGCTGTATTTTATTATGAAACAAATACAGAACACCTGTTTCACTTAAGAAGTAATTTGTGTGGCATTAGTGCATGGCTTGTCCCAAACGTCCTTATCATGTTGGCCTTTTGATAGAGGAACATTTCTTCCGCTGGGGCTGTTGGGCCTTCTTCACCAGAAGCAACTGGCTGGAATCTCGCTGATCAGTGTGGAGGCTGTTTGGAACCAGCAGCAGTGTTGAGTCGTGTGGAGGTATTTCAGAGGTGAACTGGCTCAATCTGTTATCTGCCCTGTGCCTTGTTGTTTCTGCTGTGATGTCAGAGGGGCCCACGGCTGGCCTCTGCTGGTATGTGAAGCCTGAACGTCGTTTGGTTTCGACCTTGCATTCTTCAGGTCTGCAGACAACACAGGAGCACATGGAACTGTAGCATCTAGCTGCAATGAGGTCAACTCATTAAATGCATCTCAGCTGTTTCTTTCCAGTTCTGACTCTGAGCACTGCCTTGTTTAAAGGGGGCGGGATCAAGTAAAATCAACTTTTTTGAGCTTTTATCATGTTATGTTATTCCCTCAACAAAGATATACCTGGAGTGTTGCCTTGATTCTGTCATGCATGTTTGAGAAATCTGTGAATCTCCATGACAACCATTCAGCTGTGCAAAACACCTGGGTGGACCTAGCTCAGGGGCGGGCAATCCTGGTCCTCGAGGGCCGGTGTCCTGCAACTCTTAGATGTCTCCCTGGTCCAACACACTTGAATCCAACAGCTGAATCACCTCCCAAGTGCAGTCAGGTTCTCCAGAGTCCTGCTAATGACCTCATTATTTGACCCAGGTATGTTGAAGTAGAGATACATCTAAACGTTGCAGGAGAACTGCCCTCGAGGCCTGGAGTTGCCCACGCCTGACCTAACCCCACCTTTATGGTCACAGCTCCTCCTCAGAGATGCTGATTCCAAGCACCCCTCCCTTCATGGCTCCTCCACTCAGCGCCTTCAGACTAGCCAGCAGCAATTAGCAAACACCTGGTGGAACTGTGCATCTGCTGGGCTCATTATTGGATGCCTTATCAAAAGCTTCCATACCTTGCTGAAAAGTTACTTGTAAGTTACTTTTGTCTTATTTAAAGTGCATTAAGATATTTAAATGAGTAAGATTTGTGTTTTTGAAGTGTAAAAGCTCGAGTCTTTTGTGATATGAAGTTAATTCCAAAGCCGTCAAGCTTTTGTTTTGGGTCTGACTTATTGGTTTTCTGCATGTTAAATACATGACCTGGTTTTTAGGTAATAAATCACCTGAAAACTACATTTTAGGTCATTTGAACAACATGTTTCACCTTCCAGGGACTTTATGTCTAAGTTTTTATGTTATTGACTGTGTAGTTTTAGCCTAAACCCCCATGCATGTCCAGAGCCCCCCACCCCTTATCTCCATCCTTAGCTGTTTCTGCTCAGACATTTCACTGAATTCTTTTGCACAGAACACAGTGTAACTTCATCCTCCTGGACTTTTGTGTAGCATGGCGTGATTCCATGGATATACAATAACATATCCCTGTTAGACCCAGTGGGCATGTTTTCTCATGCACTGCAGTTGTTCTAATTGCTTGGGAAAATAGCTTTTGTCTCCCCACCCTCCAACTGGGATCATTCTGTTCAGGATAGGAGGCTAAAACACATAAAATCTGTCAAAGAAACATTTCATAAAAGTGATGCAGATGGCTGTTTGCATGACCTGCAGCAGCGCCTACACATTTTTAACACCATTCATGACCCTCACCTCATATCTGCAGCATTCGGCTCATTCACCTCACAAACTGCTGAAGGGAGATACAGATCCAGCCTTGAAATCCGTGCGGAGCCATAATGTTCAAAACTAAACCCGCTTCTTGTCATCACAGAGAATTATGGGTATTTCTGAAGGCAAGATGAATTTAGTCAAATTCATTACTGAGATGTAATTTAGGATTTGCCAACAATCATTACTAGCCAGAACTGGATGATGGAATGAAAACAAACAATCTGAACAACTGATTACAGCTTATCACCAAAGTTGTAATCACGCAAAACTGCTGCAAGGGAGACAAAAAAAACTGTCAGCAATGCCAATCTGTGTAATAAGCAAAGAATGCAAAACACAGAAATGTTCATGTCAACTGGCAGTGAAATTTTGTTTGAATCATCACAAACAAGCCCAGCTGTTCCCACCCAGAGCCAGAAGAAAACTCAAATGTGCACATTGTCTGGACCCAATTAGAGAGACTTGCTGGCACTTGGAAGCTGTTATGTTTGTGTGCATACTGATTCAAATTTCCTTTCAAGTGGTTAGCAGTGAGAATAAACTGTCACATTTCAGCACCACACAGAAAGATCTGTGGTGGCTCCGCTTCAGATGACCCCTAACTGAGGTTTCTGACCATTCGTCATGTTAGTCAAAGCAGGCTCAGGTTCTTTAGTCAATACTACGGGTCTTAGAGTAGAGACAAGAGAGGAGTCAGTTATTGGGCATCTGATTAAATGCTCCCTTTAGGAGATTTTACAGACAATCTGGGTGTAGTGATGGACTCTGATCTGAACCTTCAGACACATAGAGACAGTTACAAAGTCGGCCTTCTGTCACCTGAAGAACACAACTAGGATTAAAGAACTTACGTCCCAGCAAAATTTAGAGAAACTCATCCATGCATTTATCTTTAGTTGCATTGATTACTGAAACAGTGTCTTCACGTCTGCCTAAAAAAAATCAAACCTCCAGCTACAGCTGATCCAGAACGCTGCTGCTGGTGTTCTCACTTTAGATCACCCCAGATCTAAAGTCTTTCCACTGAGAGAATAGACTTTAAAATACTGCTGACGGTTTGTAGATTACTGAATGTCTTAGCACCACAAAACATAAAGCTCTGCTGTTGTTACATCAACCTTCCAGACCTCTCTGGTCTCCTGGTTCTGGGATGCAGACCAGAAATAGAACCAAACATGGAGGAGCAGCATTCAGCTTCTATTCACCACAAATCTGGAACAAAAATCCAGAAAACTGAAAACAGCTGTAACCCTGAGTTCCTTTAACCTGTCTGTCACTAGAGGACCCAAATTTGGGTCCTCTCGTGACAGGGGTGTCAAACTCCAGTCCTCAAGGGCCGCTGTCCTGCAACTTTTAGATGTGCCTCTGCTGCACCACACCTGAAAAGAATAATTAGGTCATTAGCAAGGCTCAGGAGAACCGATCTACACAGGGAGGAGGTAATTAAGCCATTTCATTCCACTGTTTTTTTTTACCTGTGGCACATCTAAACACTGCAGGACAGCGGCCCTTGAGGACTGGAGTTTGACACCCTGTCAATGTGAATGACAACCTGAGACCAACAGGTTAAATCCAGAATAAAAACCCACCTGATTGGATCTGCTTTCGATTCTTAATAAGTGGATCATTGATCAGAGCATTTGATGTATATTTGCTTGATGATGGCTTTGGACAAAATGCAATATTTATTGCTTGTTTCATAAACGGTTACTGTATTATGTTTTGAACTGCCTTGTTGCTGAATGTGCTGTACTGGTAAGCTTGACTACATCTCCCTTCAGCTCTGGGAAAGCCTTGGAATGCCAGAGGGAAGAGAAGACGGAGGGAGGGATAAAAGAACGGTTGGTCGGTTGGTTTCACAGAACTCTGCCCTAGAACTTAGCAGGGCTGCACAGGTTTGATTTGAACATGCTTTTTCAATTACTCACTTGCTGTGTGACTGACTGGATCTCTCCAGTTTCTCCCAAGTGCAGCCCCACCTTCATGGGGCTTTTCAACTTTGTTTCCCACACTGCACCAGAGAACAGAGGAGCTCTGCTTTCCAGACTCCCTCTGTTGCACCTTTGCGGCAGAGGGCAGCAGAATCCCTGCTCTGATACACACTTTTTTTCATCTTGGGGGGGAAAATATTAAATTTTCATTGAGATTAATGACTAAATTTAACTTAAAGTAAGGTAACAAGCATGTAGCAACAGCGGGGAGAAAAAACTCCCCTTTAACAGGAAGAAACCTCCAGCAGAACCAGAACTGGGCTCAGTACAAGCGGTCATCTGCCATGACAGACCGGGGGTTTGAGAATAAAGAGCAGGATGTACAGAAAAAAAAAACACAGAAGATCCAGGAGTTAATTATATGTTAAAGGGATAGTATTTTGTATTTTCCAGGCACATAGTTTTAGTTTTATAGTCAAGTAACTGTTAATTTCAGTTGATATAAAAATACTGTATGTATCAGATATAGCTTAAAAGATATTCAACTTTGTAATTTAAAGTTGAAATTGGGCCTCTGAAGCTCTGAAGAACCAGCAGCTCTGAGGAGGAGCTGTGTCCTTTAAGGCAGAGCTGTAGGTCCACCCAGGTGTTTTACACAGCTGAATGGTTGCCATAGAAATGATAGGATTTTTCAAACATGCATTAAAGAATCAAGGCAACACTCCAAGTATGTTTTTGATGATGAAATAACATTATGACAAGATTTAAAGATCAACAAAGTCGACTTCACTTAATTCTGTCCTTTGGAAGAAAAACGTCTAGGAGAAGAGAGAGGTTAAATAGAAAGTCTGAATCAAGTCTATCATCTGTTAAGGGAACATGGTGTTCTCTGCTGTTGTACGAATGGAGTTTGCAGTGAAATTAGCCGAATATGGTAATTTTGAAAACTGAAGAAATAAAATAAGGCAGCGTTCTGTGCCAGTGTTTACCTTGTCGGCTCAGAGATCCGGGGTCTCTGGAGGAAGGCTGAGCCTCCATCAGAGGAAGGAACAGTCTGAGTTCGTTCCAGACGGTTTCAGGCTGAACGCTCCTTCAGACAGACACGCTTTCATCTTCTGCACACTTCATTTTGCTCTTCCTCCTGCCCTTTATTACACATTGTTGTTTATATGGACATATTGGGAGTAAATCACTCACATATCCAACATGTTTGTGTTGCACAGCTGAGAGGCACCACATAAACAACTTCATGGGCCTTTATAGACTTTTCAAAGCCTCAGAAAATAACATTGCATTAATATAATTTATTCTCTGTGCTTTGTGGCATGGAATGAATACAGTACATGGAGAAAAATAAATCAAAGCATCTGCTCAGAATCTGTATTTTATTATATTTATTGCATTTATACTTTAGGAGCTGAGACATTCCAGAAAAATCTGGTTGTGCTTCTAATAAGTGGAACCAGGATGCTACAACTCAATGTGTCAGCCACACGATATGTCAGCCACATGGGCCGGCCTCAGTATTTTTAGTCCACATAGAGAGAACACATTTTGGGAAATGTTAAGAAATATCTCAGTGTCATTACATGCTGTTGTCCCATCCTGACTGTTTCTTTCAGGGCTTTATTACTACAGAATGGAGAGGAAAACACTAGAGAGAGAGAGACAGATCTGCTGCAGGCTTCATCTTCTTATATGTTATATCTGTTGAACAATGCTGATCCTAAAATCTTTATTAGTGTATTTAATGATAAGAATGGTCTGTTCCTTTAGTTTGTGTAACACAGTATCTGTTGGAGTTGGTTTCTGAGGTTTAGTCCAAGATTAGTGCAGTGTTAATGTCTAGACACCATTTCTCTTCCTGCTTTAGGTGAAGACAGTAATCACTGATCAGGTTCTGTTTGTTAATACACACTACTTATTTACTTTTAGCAAAAGATTGTTATAATTTCAATAAGCCTCCCTGCATTTATCTGTTGAGAGTGAAAATGTTGTCTCTGTCTGTCAGTTTGATGGTTTAGATCCGTTTTAACAGTATGTGTCTCAGAGTTTTATCCTTTTACTTGTGGCGTTCCACAAAGCTCCATGTTAGGCCCTTTCCAGTTTAACTCTGTATGATCTCTGACTGGTGCAATAAGGAAAAACCTCATCAGCTTTGATCAATATGCAGATGATATATAAACACATGTTTAATCTTTGCTGAACTGCTAGAAGTTCTTAAATTCTAGGTTGTTGGAAATGAGGACATGAAGAATAATGTAATTATGAACATAAAGTTCACAAAAAGATAGAAAAGCTGTAAGAAAATTTTGTTGACAGTCATTCCAGCTCACAATCACTTTTACTACATCACTCATGTTTAGAAAAAGCTCTTCTACTGCAATTCTTCATCAAATTGACCAAATTCATTCATTCTGAAACCTGCTGAAGAATAAGAGTAACAAATTACCCTAAAACTGAAATTCTTCCACTGGTTTAAATTGAATTGATTTAATAATTTAATCAGTTTCTACATGTCTTCGTGGTTTCACATGCCCTTCCTGAGTCAGATGAGGGGGAGGAGCCAACTGATGACTTACTTTAGTCTGACTGCATTTTTCTTATGCTTTTCAGTTTTTGACTTTTTTATGATGCAAATGTTTGTGAACTTTGTTGTTACAGTTATTGTAAGTATAATTTTATACTTTTACTGTTCAATTCTATTTTGTCTTTTGTTCCTTTGCTATAATTTTTTCTTTGCAAATATATTTCTTGTTTTTTTGAAAAGCACATTGAGAGTAGTGGCGACAATTACCATTATTACAAGAATGGTAATTATTTTTTTAAGCTTAATTTAATTTATTTCTGCCTAGCAGTGGAGGTTGTTGCCACATAGTGACTATAAAATCTTTTTATATACAAACCATTAGAAAGAAGTGAACAGACTGACTTAGATTTCTTTCTTTTAACCAACAGATAATTGATTGACTGGTTGTGAAATCTGTCATCTGTCATCTCCTCACAGCAGACCACTCAGCTTTAAACCAGTTAGTGAACAGATGAATGTTTGAAAAAAAGCAGAATGCTCTCCTCACTGGAACTAAAATGTCCATTTGGGGTGCTTTGAACAGCACTTTAACACAAAGCATGTGTGTTCTCATGGTTACAGTTTACTTCCAGAAACTTCCCAGCATTGTTCCGAGTTCTGCTCCAGCTCTCACCTGCTCCCATCCCCCTGCCTGAGCGCTGAGGAATGACACAGTTCCTGTTCTGTAATGTTCCTCTGATTGTGCCTCCACACCCTGCTGATGATTTTACCAAGACGCCTGTCACCGTAGATCCTCTCCGCTGCTGTTAAGGGGACGGCGAGTTCATTCTGTGGGTTTGTTAGCGGTTGACGGGGGCCTGGGCAGAGTGGGCCGCCATGGCTCTCTCTCCTCATCGTTACAGGGCTGCGGGTTTTTGTGTAACAATGGCCTAACAGCAAATATTTTAACGATGCGTTTTACCTCCCTGATTACCTGGTCCACTCTTGAACCACTCTGTGAATCACATGTGCTGCACAGTTTTCCTTGAAGCATTCTGTGGGAACTGGGCTGTTAGAACATAGCAGCAGCTTTAGATGCCAAATGAGCTGCGGTGAGCCTTGTTAAATGGTCCAAATGAAACTCAACCAATAGCTGTAAACCATCCTGGACCGGCAAGGCCTTTCTGCTAATAAAGAGAAAGTGTTAATAAAATCAGACAGTTGGAATCAAGTGTAAACATGATTTTCATTTTCTGTTCCTTCATGTCCTTTTAACTACTGGGAAGGTACAAAATTAATAAGAAGCTCAACATTCACTAAATGATTGTCAGTGTTTAGGTTCAATCCAGAACCTTCTATGCTAAAAAATAAAAAGTTGAACAAAGCAAACTTTGAGTTGACATGGCAATAATGTGTTAATAAGTGAGGAATAAGTACCTGTTTCATATTCTCACTGAGGACTAAGGCCAGATTGGGTTGGGCTGCTTATGAACATGTTTGGGAGGTGGGAGTGTTCAAAATCAGGCTGCTTTTCACAACATTTGGCAGGTTTTTAGAAAGTTAACTATAGATAGATAGATAAAGCAGGCAGAGATTGCGCTAAGCAAAGCTGCTACCACAATACGATACAGTACAAACCATAAAAGACGTGAACGCCACAATAAAATAAAAAACATATTCCCATACATTCCAGCAAATCAGACCAGAGCATCAGCAGCCTGACGAGAAACTATGAGTCTACTTCATTTAATATTCTGATCGATGTAGAAACAGATGAATTTTAAAATCTGTTAAATCTGCAAGCAGGGTTTCTAAAACGTTTGCCAGATGATAACAGTTGGTATTGTGAGTTGATGTGAGAGGGATCAGACAGGACAGTGAGGTCAGAGGTCACACTCTTCATAGATGGACTGCAGGGAGGAGTTATCACTTCCTTCCTATCACCAGGTTGTATCATGTAACTACATTTATATTTTAGTTTTAGTTTATTGATTATCACGCCATGCCGACATGCCAAACCTGGTGATTCTTTTCAATACGTCCTGATAGGAAAATCACATGAGCTTCTGGTTCACCCCAAAGACTCCGAGTCTGTGTACAAAATACAATCTCTGTTGAACATAACATCTTAACTAGATGAACAGATTATCTTGGCGAACACTCAGATATCCGTAAGAACAAACCTGCTTTGTTTTCTGGTCATGAATAAAAAGAGACTTGGAGTCAATCAGCATCTCTTCTGTTTTCCTGGTATTAATAATGAGGTGGTGGTCATTACAAACACTGAACAAAGAACTGGACCTCATTAAAGTACGATGAGGGAACCAAATCCTCATGCAGCCAGCTGAGAGCAGCAGTATGATCTGAGGATTTCAAAACCTGATTCCCAGGCAGCTGCTGATTCAGTGATTAGTGTAAATAGAGAAGAGGACAAGAGAAGGAACACAACCTGGGGAACATCCTGAGCTCTGATTGGCTGCTGTTGACTCTAACAAACGTTGATCTGAATGAAACCATTTAATAAGAAGTGGATTGACATTCATCGGCTGTAATTTCTTGATGAGCAGGTGAACCTGGAGGGGATTAAAAGCAGAACTGAAATCTACAAACAAAAATCAGGACAGGGTTTTGGTTTTTCTACAGGTTTAAGTGTTAGGCGTGTGATGGCCGTCCATGTTTGTATGGAATCCGGAAAGGATCAAGATCAGGATTTATCTCTGATTTCAAGAGGGACACTTCATTATTACTGATGTTGGGGCCACTGACCAATAGTCATTATCAGGTGGACTTGATTTCGTGGGAACTGAAATGTCGGACCCTAAGTAGGACATATAAAGAAAATTTGGAGTTTCGTTAGGTTGAGATTCAGGCTGATTTTATTTGGAGCTGGACGGGTTTTATGTTGGGATGGAAATGGTTAGTCAGATCTGGCAACCCAGGCCACCATTCTAAAGATCTTTGAGGTTAGATCAGTCAGTGTCTGAAATAATTACTTTTATTTTTTTAATTATTTGACTGACTGAAAGACTGTCATTAGCTAGTTTAGGTGCTCTGACACCTAACCATCCACTTTCTTTAGCAGTGAACAGGGCAACACAGAGAGACAAACAACCACACACACACACACACACACACACACACACACACACACACACACACACACACACACACACACACACACACACACTCTGACTTATGGGAATTTTCAAGGTGCCAGGGAAAACTGGAGGAAGAAGAAATGCCTGGAAAGAAAACATCTGGAGAAAATACAAGCCTGAAACAGAAAGGAGCAGGGATCTTTACCCAGGACTCTCTTACTGCAAACAACATGGTGTCCTTCTGCCAAGAGCTATTATCTCTGATTACATGATTATTATTGTACTTTTAAAACAGGTACTGGCTCAAAGTTGAGGAATGAACCACAGAACCACAGAATGTCCTTGTGGTTCTAAACGTGTAAATAGAGCACCAAGCTCTCAGCAACCAGCAGGTTTAAACTCTGTGGTTGTAAATGAAATACAATAATACTGGAGCTGCTGTGGATATCTGTGTTTTAATGGCTTTTTAGAACTGCAGTATGTAAATTTTATTTTAAAAAAAAGTTTTGTACGTAGCTGTTAAAACGGTCACCATGTTATCTGTCAGTGTGTTATCTGTGTCCTGCACTGCTGGGATATTATCTATCTCAGCATTCTGTCACCACATGGTGACAGTTTCAACAGATATGTAAAAAACATATATCTTTTTTTTAGTAGAAGCTGCATACTGCTTTAAAGTAAAACTTCATTCTAAATACATTTAAAAACACAGTAAGGTTCTACAGTCATTATAAAAGAAAGCCACTGACTTTCAATTCTGCATTGGGACGAAATAAAAATTGTTCTAAGCTTATTTAAATTTAGCAATAAATGTACAAAGCTAAATATTTCATACAATCCTCTTTCATTAAGCTGAGACAAAGCAAAAACTCTTTGTAGCAAATTTAATTACAGGTCAATCATTCTAGAATTTACAGGAAACCTACCTCTACTGTATTCACATGTTTGAAACAGACCTGATTTACTGTGTTTACTGTTGACTGTATTGAACAGACCACACATCACAGAGCTACGACTGGGTCGTATTCATGTGCCTAGACGCTTTTTTGCGTCTTGTCACGTTTACAACCAGAAACAAAAATATCAAACAAATCCAGTCTGACGTTGCTCGGAAAACAAACCTTCTGCTCACTGAGGCAAAAGAGAAAAAGTATGGATTTCATCACAATGTCGAGAACGGATTTGTTCTAATTAAGAGATGCTGATCAGTTGAACGCACTGCAACAACGATAAAAGAAGTTTTTAAAACAGAACTTGAATGTTTTGGAGTCTAAATGAGTAACATAATATTGGGAATGTTTAGATCTGGCAAATGAATCCAAAAGATAAGTTCATATAGTCATAAACTGGCAGGATCACATTATGGGAACATGAAAATATTTTTGATCTTCCTCCAGAATAAACACCTGATTCTAGTCACATTAAAGCCTTTCATATGTATTGCTTTAGAGTGTCTTGCAAAGTCTTTGTCATCCAGCCTTAAATAATTTTTTGACATGTTGTCATATTTCAGCCAAAAACAGTTTGATAGAGAAGCACAAAGCAGTGCATGCATGTGAAGCAGAATGATGATGATTCATGATTATCTGAATGTTTTCTCCCTATGGTTCTGGAAAGTGTCTGTGATTGTACTTTATGCTACAAAGCCTCCACAACAATCACGGTTCTTAAAAAACCCACAGTAACAACGTTGAATGACTGTGGCCCAGTAGCAATTTACACCCATGGTCATGAAATGCTGGTGAAAGGTCACATCACCTCCATCCTTCCCTCTTCACTTCATTTCAATTTGCGTATCGCCCTAACTGCTCCACTGAGCACGCCATACCGACTGACACACCTGGAAAATAAGAATGCTTCAGTCTGGATTCTGTTTATGGGTTTTAGCTCAGCATTCACTATAATCCCACAGCATCAGATCGACAGAACATCCACTCCCCTGTGAGAACTGAGAACAAACTCTCCTCAGGATGTGTCCTCAGCCCCCTACTTTACACCATGATGACCAGCGATTGTTGTACCAAGTACAGTACAAACACCATGATCATGTGGATGACACAGCAGTGGTTGGTCTCATCCAGGACGGTGAGGAGAAGAACTACAGAGAGGAGATGAAACTTTTTGTAGACTGGGACAACAACAACAACCTGCTTCTGAAAGGGGGAAAAACCAAAGAGCTGGTGATCAACTTTAGGGTCGATTCTGGATGCTTCTGCGTCCAGAACACTGCTGTCCCACATCCAACACATAGCAGACATGCTGACCTGACTCCACTGGATTGCATTTTGGGATGTCAGAGTAAAGGGGGCTGAATGCAAACCATGTTGTGCATTATCATTTGTACTGCTGTGAGCTACTTTGTGTTGGTCCATAAACTGAATGAAAAATGTGGTTCTAAATGTCTGAATATTTGTTCAATTGAATCTATTTGAAGAGTGGCTGTTGGTGACTTAGGCCTTACTCATAATTTACATTAAATTCTAAAATGACATTAAATTTAAAGCTATTTGAATGAAGGGATTTATTGTGACTTTTAATAGTTTCGATGAAAATATAAAAACTGTTTCAAAGAAAAGCTTGAATACCAGTGATGTCAAAGGTGGTGACCTCCAGGATCAGCTTCAGTAAACCTCGCTGTTTTCTGAACACTGTTTCTAACCAAACCTCTGGTTTAAGGTCACGCTGCACTGTTCACGGCTTCAGCTGTTCCAGGAACATCCATGAAATAAATACAGGGAGAGGAATCCATCCAGGTGTTCCTGATCCCAGCTTGGACAGTTCAAAGAGGCCATGCCACGAACCCAGCCAGTCATTGGATGAGGAGAGCCACTGGAGCTGGAAGACCATGTGTGATCACTCAGCTTAAAATTTCTCTGTGGATTAAAGGGGCTTTTATTCCCATGTCACACAGTTTTAACATAAAAACAGGACAGGTGCAGATAGGAATTCATAGCGTTTTTTTTTTCTTTCTTTCTTCTTTTTTGTTCTGCCTCTGTCTCCAGTTTCAACCAGACTTGGGACTGAATACTTCAGAGAAAGATTTGTAGCTGGTGCCTGTTTTCATTTATGTAGTGATTACATAAGCCATCCTATTTCTGAGGTCCAGGTGAAATGTGATGAATACAGAAGCATGTCTGAAGGCCCCAGGTCCAGAATCATTGTGATGTGGTTCTTTGTGGAGACCTGACAGAGCAGAAATCAATAAGTCTGTTTTCACGCCTGATGGTCCAGGGGGCTCGGTGTGATTGGGGACCAAAATTTCCACATTTGCTACATTTCCAGTTGCTGC